AAACTAAATCAACAATGTCACAATAAAAATAATGTAATTCATGATTTGCTTCCTTAACCTTCAATTCAAAATTATGCCGATCCCATTTCCTTGCACGATAAAAAGAAGATTAATAGCAAATCAAACAAGCTGCATGGTTGAGTAGTTTCTCCTCATCTTTTTTCTTAATTCTAGTGTATTTACCGCCATAAAATCCCTAAAATTATCTAGAAAATACGTTTCACTCACTCGGTAGAGCACGAAGAAATTCAACCGTATAGCTTATTTCCTCGTTAAAAAAATTCAGTAAGTACATGTATAGGAAGAAAAGTTCTTAACAACCATGCTTTGAGTACACTAGTCTATCACTATAATTTGGTCAAGCATCATCCAACAGTGGCGCAACTAGTACTAAAACAAGATTATAAACAATATTTTACAGAAAAAACAGCACAGCACAAACCCTGTTTTAACGAAATAAGTTTAGTAGTTTTGTCTTTGGTACTAATTTAGTAAATTAGTAATACAAATTAATTTTAATGATAAATTTATGACTAAAAATAAATTAGGTTATGTATAAAATGTGGTTCAGATAAGGATGTGCCTTACTAGCGCATAAAATGTGGTGCCTTCAACACTAAAACCAGGAGAAAGGCAGAAGAGACACAAACATCACTGGGAAAATTTGGTTGGGAAAACAGGAACTAGAGCGGCGAAACTTTACTTTGTTTTCTATTTTCAAAAAATTTAAGTAAGAAGCCAGAGGAATCTCCCCCACCTGCAATTTGCAGACAACATTGTTCTGATAATAGATAACTTAAAAGATATTGGAACTATGGTTATTGGAACTTAAAAGATATTGGAACTATTAAAGTTAATATCTTTAATGAAGTTTGTTTGAACATATGTTTTGGAAAGACACAATACATGACAAATTTGGTACCAAGTGAAAATCTAAAAGTCGACTGCAACGAAAAAGAATTAGTTCATAAATAAGACATATAAATACTTAGGCCATGAAGTCCAAATTGCTAGGGACAACCAAACTGCTGAATTGCACAGACAAGGAAGGATCACTTTGACATGGGCTACGTATGGAGCTCTATTAGACATCTTCAAAAGCAACATGCCAAATGATTTAACAAAAAGACGTTCGAATAATGTGTGCTTCCAGACCAGATAGCGCTGAAACACTTTCATTAGCCCAGGGTACAGCAACCAAGCTCAGAGTAGCCCAAAGATGAATGTAATGCTCGCTACTTGGGCTAACTTTCAGAGACAGGGTTAAAAACGAAGAAATAAAGAACAGGGCAGGCGTCACAGATGTCATAGAGAGCACAGAATGGCTGAAGTGGAACTATGCAAGCTATTTGGCCAGAATGAATGACCTATGTTCAACCTATGAAAGACCTATGACAATGCCCTATGTTTTACTTTGAACACAGAATGCTGAATGATAATAGCTATAAAAAAATTACCTAAATTTCTTATTTCGGTCCAATTTGAAATGTTTTTGAAGCGAATCTTCTATACTGACGTTTTGGTAATATTTCTCTATACTAAAATGCTGAAACGACCGTCACGAAAGTAGCGCCATGACGCAACATCACGCCATTTGGCGGCGCTATTTCTACTAGAGAAATAGAAACAGTTAGTAAACAATTGGAAGAGTTCACTTAAAATATTATCTAAAATTTACAAATACAGAAAACATAGTATTAAGCTTCGCGCTAGCCTACTGTACCACTTTTTTGGTCAAGCAGTTTGTTTTTTTCTTAGAAATAAGATACATTAACTTTTCTCTATTCTTGCTGGCTTGAATGCTTTAATTTGGTTCATTGTTGGTACTTTTCGCATTTATGCTTCTACTGCATATAATAGCACAGGCCAAACGTAGAAGTTATTCATTATTATTTTATTTGGTTTCTAGGTTAAGTTGTTCTAATTAAAAAAAGTTGTTTTAGTCACTGACTTTAGTTAAGTTGATCCGTTGTGATAGTTCTCAAATATTTCCTTGTGGATAATATTTAGCCGAATTTGAAGGCTCTCTACGTCTGATATAATTACTGTTTCATCCTCACATCGAATTACGTGCAGTTATTCCTAGTTTATTTTTTTATACGATCGTTTTAGGTGCTTTTTGTGACAATTAGTCTGAGTATAAATGTAACATTGTTGGGGATAGAATACAACCCTGTGTAATACTTCGTTGTAGAGATATTTTGTATTTTGAATTTTTAACAATTTAAGGCGGACTTGCGACTTGTCAGACCAAAAAAAAAATAGATAGATAGAATAAACAAAATTGGTCAAAAAGTGTAAAGACGATAAGAAATAAGAGCACTGAGTGCTGACTCGGGAAAATTGGAAGAAATTAAGAAGCAATAAACATTGAAATAAAAACTCCGACGTCGAAAGGATAAAGATTTATGTAAAGAAGAAGAATATTTCAGAACCAACTTTTAAAGACGTAAATATCTTTGTCATAATCTCCTATACAGCTAGTCATCAATCCCTGTTATCAGTAATACAGTACCTAACATAATCTACATTTAATTTTTAGTTTAAGGCTTTAACATTTTCTAAAAAAATCAAAGTTATGATCGTAACAAGAACATAAGAGTATTACGACTTGTATAAAAAGTGTTATAACTAGATTTATTAAAGATATATTCAAACTAGAAAGAACTAGCGCAGACTTAATTTTCAGATGTAATACCGGACAGCGTTGACACCGATCACACAGATCGATGCTAAGTCACTAGAGATAGCGAGAATAAAGCGCCTTACGCTAGCCTGCATTATTCGGGGTAGGATTTCGTGTGAGAATCCTTATATACAGTACTTTGCTGATAAGAGAGCATCTAAAGCGAATCAGAGTGTTATTGGGGGGGGGGGAGTGGATAAACTGGAGCATTGGGGCAGGGTGGAGGGATTCCAGTTTACACGATTTAATCCTCCTCGCTTCAATGAATTGTATCACCCGAATGTCATTATTAAAGAGTGTGCAAGTCTGTCAGGCTGGGAATCACCGAGCATACGACACTTTGTTAAGAATCCATTACCCATCAACAATTTTCAGCAACATTCGGAAATACTAAATATTTGTAAAGCTGATGTAGTTATATAGACACATAACAGTAATAAATTAACTGGATCAGTAAAAGAAACATATAATCAAACCGGGTAACACAAAATATAGGTCAAACTGGCAACAGGTGTATGTTCTCAAAAAACTTAATAGTGTGTAGGGTAGTTTGGGCAGAAAGAAGAAATCCTGGCTGAGAAACTCGAGATAATGGTTTCAAATACCAGAAGCTGCGAATATAATACATGCGGCACAAAACAGAGAAACCTATCGTTTTATGGTCGCCAACCCTCGGTAGAAGACGACATATAAAGAAGAAGAAGTGTTATTTTTAATAAAATCAGCCAAGTACTTTCAGCATGTCACATGCCGTCTTCAGAGCTTCGTTTTATAGGATGTTTCAAATACCTCATGGAAATGTTATTGTCAACACAAAACGCAATAAAAAACATTAAAAGGGCAATGCCTTCGTTTTAGGGATGAACCCCCCTTAAAAGTTGTAAAAATCACATTTAATAAGTGATTGGTGTACCAATAACGACGAGGGAAAACAGCTGTGTTATTTATAATAGTTATTTATAAGAGAAAACTCTGAAAATGGCGTGTGACATGCTAAATTAAATAAAAATTTACACACTATCGAGTGTTTTGAAAACATACACCTGTTGCCAGTTTGACCTATATTATAGAAGTGTTTAGGTATAAGTCATGCAGTCTTTTTCCAAAGAAAACATAAGCACTTCGGCATATCTGTACGTAATTGATGTTGGTAAAATAGAAAAGTCTATCTTATCCTTCTAGTGTACCCCATTACTGGAGGTTTGCGATCACTAAATCAAAATATTCTCAATTCTGCGCCACTCTTACTAATTGTTGAACGTTCATGCTCTTCATACTCTTCTGCTCTTCTGATATATAAATCTGTTAAACAAATATATCAATAAGGTAGGAAACCCTACTATAAAGGACACAAGTATCTAAACGGAGAATCATATAATTTGCTGTAGTATATTTCAATATAATATACGAGTAGGACATATTAGTCTAATAAAGATATTTGAAATCTATGTATGGAATAAAATTCTATGAGAAAAGCAATAGATGTCGTGAAGGAATCGAAAAAGATAAAAAGCGAATGTTGGTTACAATATAATAGTAATAAACAAAACTAAAATGACGCAATAGTATAAGGAATATATTAAATACCAGGCAAAGCTAAAACCAGTGAAAACACCTTGCCTTTATTTAGTATATAACGTAGAAAAATAGTAAAAAAAATTCGAAAATAAAAACCTGTCGCAAACGATATGAAGTAACTGATAATAATAATCACAAAAATTTAATAACACAGAATTATGAATAAACTAAAAATATAATCATATACAGATAACACGAAGGGCAGTATTTGATAAACATTATAATCATGAATGTCACGCCGCTGGCTGATCTAAAGAAAGAAGAAAGGAGATCGCAATACGTTTTAATATCCAGGGGGAGCAGAGGGGGAAGTAGTTTTAGTTTTATACCAGAGCCGTGGTGCGTGGATACCAACAATATCATCAGCGATTGATCGTGATAACGCTGCCATCTTGTTAACTTGTTAACGAAACAACTAATGAGTTTGTACCAATAATGGACCGTATTCGCGTGTTGCAAGTCATAGTTTAGGATTTCTATTCGCTTCCTTACACACAGAAAAATGTCTCTGTCATTCGTATGTTAATAATGGATAGAATTACTGATACTGACGCAAATGAATTATTACTATTACTATTAATATATATTTTTTAGTATTTTTTAACATGAGAGTTAAATATACGCGATAAAAACACGATAAATTTAAAAAAATTAGGAATATCATAGAGTTTGATATACCGGGTGGTCAGACGAAAACGAAACAGAGGCATTATTATGAAATACCATGAAACCATGAATGAACGACATCAACATAAACATATCAGTAGGTAGTAAAAAACGAAAAACTGAAGGGCCTGTAGCTAACGCAGCTAGTGAAGTTGCAGTGTTAGGACATGTTCACCTAAATCCCATGATAAGTATGAGGCAACTAGCAGCTACATCTATAATCAACCGAACTAGCGTCCAAGTTATTTTGAAGATGAACAAATTCCATTCATTTAAAATACACTTACTTCAAAAACTTAATGGGGATGATTATGACCGCAGTTTGTAATTTGGAAACAATGGAACAACAAGAAAGGAAGATACGACACTTATTCTATCAGTGGTGACATAAGGGTAGGAAGCATGTTCCATATACCAAAATAGAAATAGTGACAATCTTAGGCTAAAATGGAAGGATTTTGTAGTCGAGCGCTGGAAAAAATTAGTGTGGTAAATTCTCAACGGTTCAAAATGGACCGTTAAGACTGGATAGTGGATATACCGACTATGGTTGGCTTTATTTTAAAGCATTAAGATATAATAGTAATATGGCTGTACAGATGTTTAAAAATTTGCGGTTATTGAATCTTGTAACACAATAAAGAATATTTTTTGTAAATTCAATGATTTGTAAATGTCTGTTTTATATTGATTTTCCTATTTTAGACACATACCGTAGAAATCGGTAAAAAAACCCAATTAAAGTTATTAAACATCTAAGATTATTTTTCTTCTTCTTGATGTGCCTATCTGTTACGAACGTTGGCGATCATCATGGCAATCTTTATATTTTCTGCATATTGTTGCATTCAGCCAGATTCTGACGTCCTTTAACCAAGATGTTCTTCTTCTTCTTGGACCTCGTTTTCAAAATATTTTTGCTTGCAGGATGGCTTGAAGAAGAGCATATCTGGATTATTTTGTATAATATGTCCGAAGAACATTTGATGGTGGTCAGTACCTCTCGGTTCTTATTCATTCTTCTGTGGGCCTCCTCATTTGTGACTCGGTCAGTCCACGGGATCTTAAGTATTATCCGACATAGCCACATCTCAAATGCTTCCAGTTTTCTGCACATATCTTCGTTCAAGGTCTACGATTCAACACCATAAAAAGGCAGAGACGTAGCATCGCAGCATTCTTACTTTTGCATCAAGAGAAAGGTTGCTCTGACTCTTTGAAGTGAAGCTCACCATCTCCTGATTGTTGGTCCATTCTTCATTTATTATGGTGCCGAGGTACTTGTAGTGCGTCACTCTTTCTACAGGGGATTGGTTGATGTGATGATGATGAGTTTACCTTTTGATATCCTTTTCTTGCTAATTATCATAAGCTTTGTCTTATTAATATTTATATTGAGTCCATATTATTGACTGTACGTGATTTTGTTCATAAGAATTTGTAGGTCTTCTAAGTTGTCCGCTAATACTATGGTATCATCTCCATATCTGATGTTGTTTAGCCGATAACCATTTAGTAGAATACCTTTGTCAGTTTCGTGCAAAGCTTTGATAAATATTCTTTCAGAGTACAGATTGAAGATTAGAAAAGACAAAATACAGCCTTGCCTCAATCCACGCATGCTTTATACATAGTCAGTGTGCTTATCTTTAACTCTGAGATTTTCTGTCTGATTCCAGTAAAGATTTCTAATTATTTTCAGATCTTGGTTGTTAATTCCTTCATCTCTGCATCTCTGAAATAAGACTTGAACTGAGAACCAAGCCTCTCTAGTACCAACAGCATTTGTGAACCCGAACTGGCTGGTGGAAATTTGACTTTCTCAATCATTTTCTATTATTGAACAGACATAAATATTTCCAGGGAAGGTCATATTAGAATATTTACTCAAAATAGAAAACTGGCACCTAACGATAAATATATAGATTTGGCGGATACCTAGGAAAAATAGAAATATCCGAACTTTGGATTTATGCTAGACAGATCAACAAAAGATGCAATTTACATTATAAAGTGGCGGATGGAAAAATATAGAAATCAAGGAACAAAGATAAATTTAATGTGATTGTAGGATTATATCGGTGATCAGTGCTTATTTTTTATTTACTTTTATTAGTAATTGATCAAATAACGCGAAATATTAAACTAACATTACTTGGTGTATATGTATGCTGGTGATACGGTGTTAGTTGAAAAACAACACTTCAACAGTAGAGACAAACTCTTAAAGAAAATGGTTTAAAGCGTTAAGAATACATTTTAGGAGTATCGAAAATGTTCATTTAAAAATAATAATATTATTGATAATTATTATAAATAAGATAAAAGCTTGATAAGATGAGTTGTGGAATAATTGTAAAATTAACAGTTTTAAATGTCTAGAACCACAACATTGGCTAAATATATAAAAGAATGCATACAATAGAGTTACAGCGGTATCGATGAAAGTATGACAGAAAGATTCGAATAAAAATAAAAAGCAAATTCTATAAAACTACCATAAGACCGGCTATGATGTAGTTAATAATGAATGTTGATTAGTTAAAAAGAAAGAAGAACAATGAATCAATGTGGAGAAAATAAGAATGCTTACATATAAGAGTGGAATGACAAAAAACAGTGAAACTAATTAAAAAACCAGTTAATGGTAAATGCAAAGAAAATAATGAGAGAGTACTAGTAAGAAACGATTATTCAGTTACTATATTTATGGATAAGTATAATCTATCAAAATGCTTTTGGGAACTAGACCTACCCAAAAATGATAAATAAAAAAATACAATTTTGATAAAAATCCAAACATTTAGAACAAACGTAAGGAATTTAATTCATTTTTAAATGGAAAAATGCGATGTCTCCGAAAGCACCAAACAATTAGGAAAAAAATCCAAATACTTGAAATTGTTAAATTTGGCCGTCCAAACTGTCTCATTGTTTTGTTCGTCTCGATAGCTCGTTTTCAGGGTGGTACCAAGTACCATCAGTACTAAAGGTGAAGACAACTACGGTGGCACTCGACAGCGAAGAGGAGTTATTCTCGTTTTTTCCTTTGTTTTTTCTCGTACGAGGTCCGAATTATTCGTGTTTGGAAGAATGTTAACTCTCAAAGAATCGCAGGTTTGTTAAAATATACTGTCACCAGATATCATAGGCGTGCACACCAACAGGTATCAATAAATATACGGAATTTTATCACCTACTCATTTATGTGCATACTAATTTTAAAAATAATCGCTACTCTAGCCGGTTTAGGATACTTAAACTCTTTTGTTGTCTGAATCAAAGTTAGTTTTATGTTACTAATGTATTCCACGCTAAATATGTTACCATGGTTCGCAAAAAATCAAGAACTTGGGAAAAATAAGTAGTCACGTTAAACAAATACAGCCTGAAAGAAAGAAATGGACTAACCTTATTAATTAATAGTGTATAGGTTTAATGGGAAACATTTTTTCCTTCGTTTCCACAATTTAATAGAATTCATTTGTTGTTTTTTTTTATTGCGATCTATCTGAAGACTAATAAATTATTTAGTTTAGTTCTTACTTTTCTTCGAGACTGTATTTTTACCAAACAATATGTTTTTAATAAAGTTGGGATTAACCTATATTATTATATAAAATATAAAAAGTTTTATAGCGTCTATCGTCGCTGTACGTTCTCTAGACTTCTCCACCTTCTTCTACCTAAACACATCCCGTTGTCCAACTTTCTCTCGTTTATAACCTTCTTTATAATATTCCCCCAGCTTTGGGTATTCCACGTTTTACCCGTACCATTGATTTTCATTTACATGCTGCTTTCGAATTTCACGACTCATTTATTCAAACTACATATACCTATATACCAATCTAATTGTTGTTGTTTAATATCTTCCACGATTGTCTTTTTTCGGCCCCAATGATTTCTTTTATGTATTTGATTTCAACTGTCTCGTCGTCATATTCTGCATGATCTCCACTATACATTCATTTCCATAGCTGTCAGTCATCTTTTAAAAACTATTTTAATGGGCAAAACTGAAGGTCGTAGAGGACCAGGTTCCACACTATACTCATGGTTCAGAGACGTCCAGAGACGTGGAAAACTTGTGCAATAGACCTGATATCAGTTCAATAATAAGCAGTACAAAAGAAGGATTCTTACGCATATTTCAAGCAGCATGAACTCCTATACGCTGTATAGCGCACGTCACCAGAAGAAGAAGAGGTTAGTTCCGCTTTTGGTATTTCTGTTGAAATATCCTTGCCAATTGCCCTCTCAGTAATATCCTTTGTGATAAGTGAATATCAAAAAATAACAAGCACAAGATATTTAATACAGTTATTAAAAGTATAGTCATCTACAACAGTGAAGTATGGAATATAAAGGAGGGTTCTAAGAGGAAATTTAAGGCGACAGAAACGGATTTCTGAAGACGTTAAGCAGGAAAATCTAGAATGAAAAGAGTTACGGACAGCAGAATTAGATAAATTCAAAAGTAAAAAAGGCACGATAGTAACGAATGGACCCACTTTCAATGTGGTCATGTTTAGAAAGTATGAAAACCCTTCCAAATAAGTGTTATTGGACTTCTCACGGTAGAAGGCAAAAAGGAAAACTCCTCATTCGTTGGAGAAAAGACATTAATCGAAAAATAAGAGAAAGATACCTAGAAGACTTATAGATGAACCGAAAGTAGTTGCGTCAACGGAAGACGCAGGAAACCGTTTTTCCTGTGACTCTATTATTTATGTGTATTTAGCTCTGCAAAGACAGAAATACCATTAAAAACATCAAAATGAAAATATACAAAACAGCACGTAGAATTGTAATAACCTACGCAGCAGATTCAATGTGCCTGACTGATAGAAGTAGCTAGGAATAAAAGCAAAGGAAGATGCTTATAAGAATCCTTTGGAGCAAAATAATTTTAATATGAGAGTCTAGATGATTATTTATTAACGAGATAAAAAAATCAAATAAATTCAGAAGGTATAGTCAGACATATTAAGGCTCAAAGGTTGAAATGGCTCGGGTATGTACTAAGACGAGGAGAAGACACATTAGTAAAGAAAATATTAGAGTGAAAACCTACAAATACAAGATTTATAAGAAGATCAAAGTGCAGGTGGGACGATCGGGTCAAACAATATATCAAGAGAATGAAGATGCCTAACTAGAAAACAAAAATAGAAAATTGACAGAATACATTTCTTAATAGACGGAGTCTAAATTCGAAACATACTTCGGTCCTAGAAGGTAAGCAGTACCGCCTTCCAGGCTTGGTTATGCAGTGGCCACGATGATATCCAAGACCGCATGCAGAGGTTGTTCGTACACCATCAC